TAATTCAAAATCTTTTAATACAATGTCATTTTCCACCAAGAAATTTTTATCTTCTTCTAGTAAGCAATTAATTAATAATTTGATGCTGTTTCCAGAAATAAATGGGTTTCTCCATAAAGATGGAATATTGATATTATGCCATTTTTTATTGACAAGGACACAAGAATATAATGTTTTCTTATCATCTTCAATGTATTTAAATATTTCAATGAAAATTTCCAGTGGTAAAGTTGTTATAAGCATTTTTTTTTTATGTTACATGCTACACAAATTTAATTGCAATAATAACAAATTCGTACAACTATAAACCATAATAAGTCATCAAGAAATTGAAATGTTTTTATCAAGTTTACTCAGGAATTCCAAAAGCAGTTTACTTAGTAAGTTTTTTTGTTTTTATATAAATATAATATATATATATAAAGGTGGTAAGTAACATTTAAAATTTATTATTATGAATGAATTCAATAACTTTCTGTCTGATATTAATCAATTTTAACTACAATTCATTCAAATTTTCTATAAAAATTAGTTTTTTGGTAATAAGGTGTAATTAATTCAATTTTTTTTACCAATCATTGTAAGAAGAATTATGAATATTTACACAATAAATAATTTGATTATTTATTTATTTAAAATAAATAATACAATATATATATATATATACATATATACTAAAGGTAGTAAGGATACCGGCTGCAACTTTTGATGATGGTTGCTACCACCTTTGCATCATATAAAAATGATTGCAACCACTGGTTGCAACCACCTTTACGACCATTTTGTTTCCTTTTTTGGATTGCGACATGGAACACTAAAATCAATAGATTTTATAATCAGATTAAATATATAATCATCAAATGGATCAATATTTACATCAAGCTCCATTATAACAATGTTAATTTTTGAAAATTTTTCACAGTTGATATCTTCAGCCTTTTTTTTAAGAGAAATAATAATAATTTTGGATTAGAAATTTTTTGTGTTGAGAATATAGCAATTTATTTTAAGGTTCATAAATCCATAATTAGTTCCAATAACCCTAAGTCACTATCATCAATAAAATTTACTTACACTAGTTGAAAGTGATAGAAACAATGACTCTGAAGAAGTTAATAATGATCTAATACAAATACAAAGAGGTTTTAATTTATCATTATGCAAACTAAATAGCTCATAAAAAAAACAACTACCCTCAAACAATACCTATGAAAATTTTCTCTTTGCTCGTCTTGTTCTTTTATCTCTGACTATAAAGGAAAGCTGTAGCAATAACAACCGTTCCTATGATAAAAACTTATCCAGCAATCTCAGCTAATTTGTTTGCCTGCTTTCTTTGTTTTTTGTTTTTTTTGTTGAGGCATTGTTTTTATTTTTTTTTTTTTAAAAAAAACACATGCAAAACAAAATGTTTATTATTGGCACCTGATGTTGTACAAGGATTTTTGGGGACAGACGCATATTGATTTTTTTTTACTTTTTAGAAAAACAATTTATTTTTTGACAAAACAAGGTGTGTTAATAACTAACCAGAGGTACTTTTTTTATTTATAAATATTTTAACTGAAATCAAATGCGGAGCAGAACTTGCTGGGTAATTATAAGATTCTTATCAAAATGATAAAATGATAACAAATGAATGATTAGTAATTTGCTTTTTGTAATCATAATCAATATTATTATTATTATAATTAATTACAAGATGTCAAGTCAGCACCCATTGAAAAAGAAACAATTAATATGAAACATTTCAATATATGATATTTGATTATCAGAATTTTACAGATGTTGAAGCACACACACCACCTTGAACTCTTTACAGTCATTCTCACACATTCCTCAAGTACATAAGGCTAATCTGACTCGCCCCTGATGATAACTGAACTCCAGGGAGGGGGTAGATGCCCTGGAGTTTATCAAATCATCAAAAATACTTTCCACTAATCTTTTCTCACAACACCCAGACCAGAGAAGGCTGCTGGCATGTTGGCCGAATAGTTGCCTGCAACAATCCTACCTCTAGGGTAAGGATGGTTCTGCAACCAAGTTGCAACTCTGTTGATGAATTATAGTGCCATGTAAACGTCAAAACAACAAAAATCTGCAACTCATTTCAAGTGCAGGAGACACCAACTTTTATTCTAGAGGGGTATAACACAAAGCAATCATCACCCAAATGCTGATCCTCATCAGTGATCAATGCCCATATGGAAACAGACAGCCTGGTCTGAGGAAAGATAAGGAAAGTTTTGTCCAAATCCTACCTAACTTGCCCAAATTCTTTCAATCATGAGAAAACTACATGATGCTGAATTGCGCTTAATCACATATGGTTTGCATGTTTGTTACAGGAAAATTTAATTAAATCTGACACCTGTGATCAATATCAGATTTATTATTCATAAGAAACCATCCATAATTGATAATCAGAAAAAATATTTATTTTTTGAACCCCCAGAGATCTGAATAGACACACATCGTTAAAATTTTAATTCATGCATGGCCTTGGTATTGTTACTACTTGGTGTTTATTATTTATTATTAACTTGCTTTTGGTGATAACTTTTCATTATCTAGTACTCTGAAGTAAATACTGATGACAATGATTGGAATGCTAATAATTTATTAATATAATAATTAACTTTATGTCTACCAATACTGCATCCAATCATTATGAAGGTTACATTTATAATCGCAAATGATGGTTTTTATTATTATTTAATTCATTATAACCCAAATGTAAATAATTAATAAAATAATTAATATTTATGATAACATTACTATCTATTTACATATATAAGCTCGATAAGTTGGTCATGTGGGGATGAGCTCATATGACCAACCTATCAAGTAAACCAACTTATTGAATTAAATTACTTAAATATTAAGAAAATGGGGTGAAAATTTTGGCTGACTTATAGAGTAAACCAACTTATCGAGTGACCAACTTATTGAATTTACATATGTACCATAATAATAAAACAATATAGTTTCAATGCTATTTCCATATTAATATTAGTGTTGCTGTTACTATTCCTGTATGTAAATATTTATTTCAGTATGCATTCCATATTTAAAATATGTCTTGGATATGTAATTTTTAGTATGGATTTGGTACCTTTCCATGATTAAAATATGTTTTAAATATGTAATTTTGGTATGGATTCAGTAACTAAAATACATTATATTAATAAAGTAATAGACTTAATTAATAATTTTCCATATTGGTTCTGTACCATTCCATACCAATTCAGCACCAATTCAGTACCAATTTAGTACAATTCCATACAAATTCCATACCTTTTGTACACATGATTTATTATTTGAATTCCATATGTTTCATAATGTTTTATAATGTATGTATTCAGTACCTTTTAGACAGTTTTTTTTTCATAGGGCATTGCTGCAAATAGCTGTTGGTAGCTGCCATTTACCATAAAAAATTATGGCTGCCATATCTATTTATGGCTGCCACAAATAATTACAACTGCTGTAAATAAATACAGCTGCTGCAAATATACATGGCTGTTGCAAATAAGCATGACTGCTGCAAATAGTTTTTAATTATGGTCATATTAGTCATGTGAAAATTTTCTTGAATTATTTGTGATCTAAAGTAACTAAATTTTTTGAATTGTAATTGATAAATTCAATTAGTCAGTCATTTATTTAAGTGAAATTATGTGTGAAAATAAAATTTGCAGCAGTCATAGCTATTTGTGGCAGCTGTATCTTTTTGTGGCAACTGCATCTGTTTGTTGCAGCTGTATTTATTTGCTGCAATGCATCTGTTTGTTGCAGCTGTATCTGTTTGTAACAGTCATATCTATTTATGGCAGCCATATTTATTTACAGCAGCTGTAAATATTTTATAATGGTAACTACTCTATGGTAGTTATATACCATTGCTGCAAATAACCATTACAGCAGGTGTTTTTAGTTTGTACACATTTAAAATTCTTTAGACCTGGACTACCAAGTCCAGGAAGAAGTGCCAATAGAATAATTCAATCAGTTATATTTTTACCAGCTGAAATGAGCTACGAATCTGTGCAGAGATTTTTTTGGCTGGTCTGGAGGAAGATAATAAATTGAAATCATAAAATATGATGCATTTAGAAAATTATGACATCAGCTAACACCAGAAACTCAAATTATAAGTCCAAGGACTGATTTTGTGTGATGCTTGTCAATATTTTTGAAATTTTTTACATTACAATGCTCACCAAGAGGAAGAAGCTAAAGAATTGCTCAAAAAATTTAAAGAACATTTGTCCAAGGCAAAATCAGAAAGAAATTATTATAATAAAAATACCAAATTAGCTGAAGAACAAAGAAAACTATTTAATCAAAATTATTCAAAGGGTAAAACACAATATTGCAGCATTGATGCTAATGCTCATTATAGCTATAATTGGGCCCAAAATGTCCATGTACCCCATTCAGATCAACAAGTAAGTAAAATCTTATTACCTTAGTCCATGTAAAATCCATTTATTTGGTATTCAAGATGAAGCAATAAAGGAACAAATTAATTATGTCCTTTATGAAGACAGAGTAATAGGAAAAAGCCCAAATGGCACTCTTAGTATGATTTTTGATGGAATTAAGAAATTGAACAAAGGTGAAAAGTATTTAAAGATTATTTGTGATAATCTGGTGGATAAAATAAAAAATAATACTACTATTTGGTTCTATTTATATTTAGTAATTTATGGTTATTACAAAAACATTGAATTAAATTTCATGATACCAAATTCAATTGTGATGGTAGCTTTAGTTTAATAGAAAAAAAATCTATAGGAAAACTGTCTAGACCATATGGTTGAGGTGGTGAAAAGATTTAGTCCAGCAGGATTGAATAAAACTCAATGGAAAAGGTTTTCAATACTTAGATATTAAAGCTATTTTAGGAATTTATTTTAAGAAATTAAATGGTCTGCAAAAGTATCATCATTTTCTTTTTGAAGCATCTAATCTTAATGTGGTCAAAACTCAAGAAGTTTCTAATAGACCTTTTGCTGAATTAAATTTATTGAAAATTAAGAAAGCAGATATTTTTGAAGAAATTAAATCTTTATCTATTTTAGTCTTAACACCACCTCCTTTGGATTACAAGAGGCAAGAATACCTTTATAATAATATTCACCCATTTGTGAAAGATGAATACAAAGATATTACTTGTCCAAAGCAAACTTACAGTAAAAATACGTTATAAAGATATGAATTAAAATAAAATTGACTCTCTTTATACTCTAATCAAACAAAAAACTCAAGAGAGGGGTCATCCTTTGAAAATCATTTGTGATTGGGATGAAGTTATTCAATCTCTTCATCCAAGGATATTTTATGAATGCTCCAAAAAAGAAGTTCCTTTTGAAAAATGAACAAAACATCAATTCTACTCCACTTGAAAATAAATACACATTTACTCTGTTATATAAGGCATCACATAATGGTTTCCAAAATAATACATTCAGTGATCAATGTGGAGGTCAAGACTCTTGTAGTCACAAAGTGTAATGAGACAAACAAGATTATACCTCAGTTTGATTTGCTTATCAGAATGGCTTTTATGCTGATTCTCAAAGTTTTTTGTTTTCTTTTAATTTTAATAAAATCAAAAATCCAATTATTTGTCATGTACAAAACCACAGTCATGCTCTTTATAATGATTATGGTGGTTATGGTCATGATTATGATTATGATTATAATGGTGGTGGTTATAATAACAGTATTTTTAATTTTGGTGGTGGTGATTTAAGTATTAATAATAATTTTATTAATTGTAATGATGCAATAATTTTCAAGTATTACAAATAGCTAATTTCTAGTTAAATTCTACATTCTAGGGATAAAAATTTTTTCATTTTTATAAATCATTATAGTGAGATTGTGTCCAAGTCTCGAGATATTATAACAATAATAAAGCCAATAATGTTAATATAATTCCTTTCAATTTATTTATACTACTAAATCGTAACAACAATTTCCGCAAATATATATTTATGCCTTACTATCTTTCACTGTCATTAAACAATTCCTTAATAAGCAATACTAAAAAATATCTTCTTTAGATTTCACACTATATCTTGATCACGTTTCTTGCTTCTCGGCTGTTACTTACTCCCTACTCAATTACTCAATTCAGGTACGTTTCCCAAAACTACTAAATAAAATTCATTAAATAATACCTCAAAGGACAAGGACAAGGTTAAGGACAGTGTTATTCATTAAATGGTTATTATGATGATTGATTGACCATAATGATAAAGATGATGATAAGGATGATGATGAGGATAAAAAATGATACGTGAAGCTAAGAAAATTACAACGTTATTTATACATGTTAAAGGTTCTATCATCTAGTTCTCCGATTTCTTTGTGAATGAATCAGAGAGGCCCTCAAATCTGTGGTCCCTGCATTGAAAAGTCTTTATTCATCACAAACTATGTTAATTTTTAGATAAAATTATTTTTGAGATTAATTTTATTCATACATAAAATAATACTATTTTTTGTGTAAAGGTTGACAATTCGCAATTTTTGTGAAAAATTTACTATTAAAAATGCAGATCTTTCTCTGGTATCACCCACCAATTAAGTTATTTTATAAAGTGATCAAATCATTTAAATCCCTTCATTTAAATTTAACCTGAGAATTAAAGGTTTGTTACATTTTAGAATGTTAGAATATTTACTTTTCCGTCTTTTTCCGTGAGTCAATTATTTTTATTGGTGATTAAATAACAACAATATTAATATTAATATGAAATTGGACAGGTTTGAATTCTTGATCAGTTTTTCCGATTTTCTTTCCGTGCGACTTTCGTAAATCATTTCCGATTTATCTATTATTGTTGTTGTTATTGACTCTCCCGTGATCTGTAAAATTACTATTTTACAATAGGCAAAAAAATCTAATTATCAATAGATTTTGTATCTGTTGGAAATGATCTAAAAATCTATATATATTTACTCTTTATACAAGTCATTACTTGATAGCTTTCAAAATAAATGTATTTAATAATAAATATGTGAATCAAGAGTCATAAAACAAATATGGTTGGCTCGGTCTAAAGACCTCCTATTGCTGCCAATTTCAAAAAAATATGACTTCACGTGATTTTAGTTTTAAAATGATTTCTTACTTCCAAATTTAGATCTGATGGTCATGATCTGGTCCAAATTTAGTAATGAACTAGTGGCCAAATTCCTCGTGAACAAATAATTTTTGAGAAAATCTCATTATTACAATAAAATTAAAGCCTTAATCCTACCAATTAATAACGCTATTTTTTTTTAAAAAGGTAGGACAGAAAGTAACTTCTATACTTTTAAAATTTATGCAAAATTTAGGAGGTCTTTAGACCGAGCCAACTATAAGATAGTTGGTAGATACACTTCAGTCGAATTTAAAGATCATAATGTATATTACGTTGATTTCAAAGTTTTTGATTTTCTTTTGATTTTAAAAATCCGATGATTTTCATGTACAAAAATTGTAATCATAATATTTCAAGATTTAATTTTGATTATGATGCTTTAAGCATTAATAACAGCAAATTTTACTCAAGGCATTCAAAGTGAATCAAACTACAATACACATATCACTAGCAAATTTATGATGACGTAGTTGGATGTTGAGAATTTTTTATTTATTCCTTAGCCTAAAATTATGCCTGCAGTTTTAGTCACCCACTGGAAGTAACACATTCTTCACTTTTGAGGTATAACTGCTATCCTAAATTCTACTCAAGTGAGTGGGTAAGTGTTTAAAATCAATCTGCATCTTGCAAATAAATGGATAATAATATCCTTTTCCAAATTCCTGAAATGTATATCTACTACAATGTGAGATGTACCCCGGTTAAACTATCTCCCATGACGATTTTTTCTGCGGTGACAAAATTCCGCAAATCTAGGGCTAAAAATTTTGTGTAATCCTACGCAGAATCACCAAAAATACAAGTCATTTTGTCTCTATTACTATTATAACACTATTTTTGTCGGAAAATTTTTTTTTATAGAATTAAAATAATGTCTTTCTTAAATAAATTATCAATAAATTTTGGCTCTTTATTAAATGAAGCATATGATTATAATGTGTTGATATCTGTTGGAAGTAAACCAAATACTAAAGAATTCAAAGCTCACTCTAGTGTTTTAAGAGTCCGTTCACTTTATTTTGAACACGAGTTTTCAAATAAATGGATAAATCAAAAAAATAATATAATTGAACTTCCAAAGATTGACCCTGTAGTTTTTTCTTTGTTGCTCAAGTAATTTTTGTAATTTAATTTAATTTAAAAAATTTTTTTTAAGAATAGAATCATTTAGTAATATTTACATATGTATATATATACTATACATATTATATATATTTAGATATATTTATACAGGCATGTTTGATTTGAGTACTGTAGATAAATCAAATTTTCTTGGAATTTTAATAGCATCTGATGAGTTGTTATTGGATGATGAATTGTGTGATTTTTTTGAGGATTATCTTATTAAAAATCAATCAAATTGGATTAATGAAAATTGTATTGAAGTTTTACACACTGTTTATATATTACCCAAACGTGTGAAACTGAAGGAATATTGTTTAAGTTTAATATGTAATTCTCCTAAATCATTTTTTGTTTTAAAAAGCTATTCATCTATAGGAAAAGATATTCTATTTGATTTATCAATGCGGGATGATTTGAGTATGGATGAAGTTGATATCTGGAATAATTTAATTGAATGGGGTGTTCATCAAACAAATGAATTGGATTTAAACCCTGATGTTACAACTTGGGATACAGATGGTCTTGAAGCTTTGAAAAAGAATTTATCAAAATTTGTTAAATCAATTAGATTTTATCAAATTTCTTCAACTGATTTTTTTCATAAAGTTAGACCTTATAAATCAATTATACCATTTGATTTATATGAAGATATTATATCATACCATCTGACATCCAGCATTCCAAGATATCCTAATTTGCCATCCAGATGTAACCTTCAAATTGATTCCTCTTTGCTGACATCAAGACAGTTAAGGATAATTATCAATTGGACCAGAAATGAAAAAAACATCGATTTAATTCCATCTAAAAGTAAATACACATTTACTCTTTTATACAAGGCATCGTGTGATGGTTTCGAAAATAATACATTTAATGAGAAATGTATAAATCAAGGATCTTGTTTTGTAGTTACAAAATGTAACAAGACAAACAGGATAGTTGGTGGTTACACTTCAGTTGGATTCAATTATAGTTATGGTTACTATAATGATCCTAGGAGTTTTTTATTTTCATTTGATTTTAATGAAATCAAAAATCCAATCATTTGTTGTATACAAAATTATGGCCATGCTCTTTATAACAATTATTATAGTGGTGGTTATAATAATAGTATTTTTAATTTTGGATGTGGTGATTTAATGATGAATAATAATTGTATTAGTTGTAATGGTGGCAGCAATAATTACAAACAGCTTAATTTACTCAATAATAATTCAAATAAGTTTTATGCAAGTGAAATTGAGGCATTCAAAGTGCAACTTAATGGATAGTTCCTATTAAATGTTAAATTATACATTTTAATAATTTTTTTTTATTTTTTTTATTGTATAAAAAATATCATTTTTGATGATCATTTTTTTTTTAAAAAAATAATGTCTTAAATAAATTTTAACTTTTATTGAAGATTTATAATGTGTTAATAATATCTCTTGGGGATGAACCAAATATTAAAGAATTCAAAACTCGCTCTAGTGTTTAAAAGCCTGTCCACCTTACTTCGAACAAGTAAATGGACAAATCAAAAGAATAATATATTTGAACTTGATGGCTAAATATTGATCCAAAACCTCCTGGAATGTAATGGCAGTTGTTATTAGAGTTGTCTGATTGTGTTTGGATTAAAGGAGTTTATGTTGAAGTGTTAAGAAACTTGGGGAATGCTCAATATGTAAATCTTCTAAATCATTTTTTGTTTAAAAAGCTATTCAATTATAGGAAATATTATTTTATTTGATTTATTAAGATGAGATGGTTTGGACACGGAAGAAATTGACATTTGGGAGTAATTTAATTAATCGGAATGTTCATAAAACTAATTCAATCTCGATTGGAATGCCGACAATGAAAAAAAAAATCAAAACTTGTCGAATTTCTTCAGCAAACCATAGATCAATTATACCATCTGATTTATATGATCCAAATATCCTAATTTGTCATCCAGATGTAAATTAAGAATGATTCTACTTTGCTAACAACAGGACAGTTAAGAATAATTATTGACCAGATTAGAAATGAACAAAGCATCAATTCCACTGCACATAAAAATCTATAAACACAAAATATTACGCGATGGTTTTGAAGATAATAAGAAGTGTGTAAATAAAGGTCTTTGCCTTGTGGTCACGAATGTAATGAAACAAATAAGATTATTAACGGTACACAAAATAATGCTGCTCTTTATGATGTGTGGTATGAATAATTAATTATACTATTAAGTGTAATATAATAATTATGTTTTAATTCTATTTTTAATAAACATAGGAAATATTTTTATTTTAAAAAATTAAAATAATTAATTAATAATAGGATAAAAATATTATAATCTGAAAATTTTTTATAATTACAGTTAATGAATATTAATTAATTAATATAAATGATGTTAATCATCAATTATACGATGATGAATATTATTATTTCCAAGACAAGAATTTTGTAAAATAGATTCATAATTGAAACTTTCAGTAGAAAACATTTTAACACAATACCAATTAAAATTGTCAACATGACTTAATTCCCAATGTAGATCAGGAATAGTGTTTTTTAAATAACAACCAATTTCCGTACCAAATTTGTCTAGTAAAGTATAACCGCAACTTTCAAATGGATTTATGATATTTAGTATTAATTTGCAAATTAGATCGGAAGAATCACTGCTAAATGTTACTATGTGTGGTTGAAGTTTATTACGCCTAAATTTTATTTCTACTTTTGTTTCGAATTCACTTAATATCTCGAAATAAACGTCTCTCAATGCCTCGACAAATAAATCAATCTTGTAAGAAATTGCTCTTTGTTTTAACGATGTCCAAATGCATGATAACGGTATTTGAAAATAATGTAATTCTTCTTCTAATTCTTCTCTTGTTATTAATTTTGCATCAGGAATAATTGGTGTTGTTGCTGTTATTGCTGACGACGACGACAAATGTGATGACGACGACGAAGATAGTGATGGTATTTTATGATATCTATTATCACCACCACTATGATTAATATCCTTGTGTTTATTTTGTTGTAATAGTCTTAAATGATTGCTGTTATGTTCTTTCCAGAATATTTTGCCGGTACGATAAAATTCAATTATATAATAAAAAACATAACCATTACGATCAATGAAATATTCATTATCATTGATTGGACGCAATAAACATTTGTTTCTATCAGCAAACATGGTACCTAGTAAAGTCTTTGGATACGAAGTTAACGTAGAACGATATGTTTCATACTAAATAATTATAATAAATAGACATATGAACGTGTAAATTACGTAATTTATCGTTAAATTTATTATTGTTATTATTATCTGATCAAAATTTACGTGTTATTTTATTTTATTTTTTAAAAAGTTGTCAAGAGAATATTTCTTACCTTAATTCCACCAACATTTAATATAATATGATCGTTTTCCTTCCCTTCCATAGTAATAATAATAGTAGTAGTAATAATAATGATGATAATGATGATAGTAATGATAATAATAATAATAAATAATAATAATAATAACAACACCAATTTGCTTTTATTTTTATTCTTTTTTCAAAGAAAAAATAACAACTATGATGATGGTGGTGGTGGTGGTGGTGGTGATAATGATGATATATTAAACAGCGAAATATTTTATTAAATTTGTTAACAAAATTAAATATTTCAGAATTTTTTTTGGAAATATAAGGAAAATATATTATTATTTAATAAAATGCATATTTAATAAATGCAAAGCTGCATAATCATATACATTCCTGTAATTAAGCTTTAAGTTTTATCCTTTTAAGTAAATTGACCTGTGAAAATGAAAAAAAAAATTTTTTTTTTTGTTTAAATAGAAAAAAAGCAGCAGATTTCATTTTTCTAACGATGAACATTTCTTTGAAAATCCAAATCAATTGATTTATGAAATATATTAATCAATACGACTTCTTGTTATTCATATGATTTATTAATAAAAAATTTGCAACTGATAACTTATCACATATATTACAAGTAATTTTTTAAAAAATCAAAAAAATAATAATACAATGATCAATTAATTAACCCATCTATGAAATGCATTAATTTTATACGCAAATTTTTTATGTGTAAAATAACCCCTATTATAGAAGTCATAGAGGTCAAAGATCATCAGGCGATTTCCAAATAGAAAACTAAAGGCTATGTTTAATGTAGATTGGCACCTTTATTTATTGGTGTAAAAGTAAAAGTAAAAAACTACATTTAGACAATTTATTGAATTGAAATATTTTTGGATTAATCATACACAAAGAGAGCCGTGACAACGTTTTTGTAGAACCATATTAAATATTTTAACGTTTAAGTGTATATAGGATGCAAAATTACATAATTATATACTAATACGAATAATTTTTGAAATAAAATGACGTTCAACGCGACATTTTTAAATTATTGCTTAAATTTGAATACATAATTTTTGAATTCTTATATATTAATGTTAATGTTAATATTAATATCAGAAGATTGATTTTTTATATTTAAAAATTCCCATAATTAATTCTACAAAAAATGAAAATGAAAATGAAAATGAAAGAATGCGCACGCGCATGTGTCCATGGATGAATAAATGGATGAATAAATGGACGAATGAATGAACGAACGAATGAATGAATAAATGGAGTATAATGCAAAAATAAAATAAAATAAAATTTTTTGGTTTTTTTCATCTTCTTTTCTTATTCCTTTTGTTATAATTAATAGAATTTACAATTACACCTTGCAATAATTATCGAAACATAAATTATGACAATAACTGCCATAATTGAATTCATCAAACACCTCTTTGCCCAAGTTTTTTCTGTCAAACTTTTATCAAAAAAATAAAAAAATGTGCCAAAAAACCATAACGGCCAAAACAAAAATCCATAAATGTAAAGATTCTTTGTTATTGGCCAAGATCCAGGTTTAATGTTTCCAATACAACTGCTATGACTATCGCCATTGCTATTACTACTGTGTCTGTGTTCATAAGCTTCTTCGTCTTTGTTATAATTTGGTGGCATATCTTTTGATATGATTGAATAGCTTGGTAATTTTTCATCTGAATAGTTAGCTTTATAAAAATCGCCATCGATGCTGTTGAGATCGTTGTTATGACTTATATTGTTTGGTGAAAATAAAGCTGATTCTGTTATTGTGATTTGGACTTCATCGGAAGTTAAAGTTGAACTGTTATTGAGATTACCGTCGCCATTATCATCATTGTTTCTTTGATCTAGCAAAGTGTTCATTTTTTATATTTTTGTGAGTAATGGTGAATTGAAAAGATGAAAGATGAAAGATGAAAGATGAGAAAAAAAATTTTTTTAAAGTGCTCTTTTTAATTTTTATTTTTGCTTAACATTTAAACGATTTCTTTGCTTTTAGAGAATAATTGAAGCAAAATAAAATCAACGGATAAACGTGTGAAAAAGTGGATGAATATGTGAGATGTTTTAAAAAATATATGTGTAAAATGAATGTGTAAAAAGGAAAAAAAGTAAAGATTGGAATAAAACACAGAATGCCACGATTTTTATAGTTTTATTTTTATTCCACAAAAGGAAATGATAATAAAATATTAATATAGCATATATAGCATAAAATTTAAGTTTGTGTAAAATGCGAACAAAGGTTAATAAAAGTCTTTTTTCTTGCATCATTGATCTTTGGTTCATTAGTAATAATAGCAGAAAACCAAAAACATCAAAAGTTCCCAAAATTTCTAAACTTGACCCGTACCAGCTAAATGTAATATTTAATTTAAACAAAGAAAAAATAACAACGAAGCAAACAAATAATTAAGCAACAAACAAACAAACAAACAAACAAATTAATTAATTAATTTAATTTTCTGGTTTTTATTTTTTTATCAATTGAATTGATTTGTGGTAATGTTAAGGTATATATGAGACAGTAAACATATTTGGGATAAATGGACAAATCAAGAAAAAAAATTCTATCATTCGAGCGATTCCGTGTATGCGTTAATTACATGTAATTAATAATTGTCTCAGAGATATAATTTGTTTGTCTGACTAATTCCATCCGTCATTGATGTTGACAAATATTGTATGTTGGGTAATCGCGTCATAATAATAACAACTCAAAATGATTAATGAAAATGGACATAATCATGGTAAAGCCAGACGTTATTTTAAATTTCCTTTTTTGATGCACATCATATATCATTCATTTTTTAAAATATATTTGATATACCAGATCCAGTTCGGTCAATTATAAAAGATTTAATTGGTCAATTAGCAGTTGCGATTTGAACTAAATCTTGATAATGGAGCTGCGAATCTAGATCGTCAAATTGAATCAAGTTCTATTTGTTCTCCTCATTAAGGTAGAATGGACGTGCTCAGCTACTTGAAACTATTCGTTTAACCAAATTTGAATTCATGCACATCGTAATTAAATTAGTGTTTGAGAAAATACATGTAATACAAAGTGATGAAACAATGATTTGTGTGTGATATTAACGGGTTTTACAACATGATTTGGTAATTTCAATCAATCTAAAACATAAATCAGTCAAGTGAGTGTTCATGACTTTTTTCTTGGGCGTCTTTAGGTATTTTATATACGTATTTTTATTCTTCAAAAGGGATTAAATGAGCTTGCAGTTCAGAAATATTTTCTTGGTTCATCCTTACTTAAGACGCGGATCATGATTTTTTTTTTTTTAGACTTTTAATAATACATCCTTGCCCTATTTTGGGGCTCAAGTTTCAGGATCTAACGCTTCAATGTGAGCAATTGCCTAGTAGAAGAAAAATAACATGGAATGGATTCTTATAATTGAGAAATTTTAGTCCTTTTAGGTATATAAACAATCATAGCTATAACATTAAACACTAAAGTTATAAATGCTAATCATAATCAAATATACTACCATCACTACTTTCAAGACATGTCTAGTCTTTAATTTATCTTAGTATGATAAATGAATATGACAATTATACATGCAATCAGGGAGAACGTAAATGTTCCCATTAGACTGAAATTGGTTTCTGGCCGAGGTAAGTAATTTCATCAATGTAAATATCAAAATTAGATGATTTTCTTTAATTAATATCGGCGTTTAGGAGCATTCCATACTGACTTTACGATTCTAAAATTCAAAGTTTTTTAATGAAGTAGTAACCAAAGGTTTTTCTCTTTTAGTGCTACCAATAACGATTACGTCTGTTTTACCTTTCTGGGTGCCATTAATAATAACTCTTCAGTAAAGGATTACTATAAAGGTTTGAGTCAAGTAACTTTCCGAGTTCCGTTTTTTTTTTTTCTTGGTTTTTTTCAAAAAAAATTTCAACCAAGATTCGGCTATTCACTTTTGGCAAGGATGCCACTCAGTAAGAATAATGTTATATCCGAATTTATATAGCAAAAAAACCGAACAGCAAGCATTTGAATAAACATTCATTCAACATTAATGTTTATATAGTCAATCGCGCTTGCTTGATTTCTTGTAAAGTGGCACCTTTATGTTTATGGCACCTAAAATTAACAGCTGAATTTTGGTTGAATTTTTTTTTTTGATGAATCATCATCATCATCCATTGATATATTAGCCAATTTATTATTAGCCTGCTCAATTAACTTACTAAGTGAGCGACTTGTATAGAATGCATCTACATGGTGTTTGTAATTTTTTGCTTCTGAAAGATATTTTTCTGATTTAATTATCTCTTGGCGTTTTGATTCTGCTAATTCAGTGATTTTTTTATTTCTTTCAGAAGGCCATTCATAAAAACAATAAAAAATTTCACCAGCAGTTGGTCTATTTTCTGGATTTGAGTCCCAACATTTTTTCATCAATTCAGCATAGGATTCAGGAGTGTCTTTGGTGACTTTAGGTCTCACTCCTCCAAGAATATCCATTATTAGATGATGATCATGTGGTACATTATAAAAAGGTTTTTTGCCTGTGGTGAATTCCCACATAATCATCCCAAAGCTGTAAATG